AGTGCCACACAATGGCGGATGCCTACAATAGCAGCAAAAAGAGCAGCTAACCTGTTGATTGTACTAAACTGTTCTTTTGTCTGTGTTTGATGTTTTCTGTTTAGACCTAAGTTTTATATTGCAATACGGATCCTTTTTTTCTCATGTTAGTGTGGTGACCTTCAAGATTATTTATGCAGGTGGTCTGGTGCTAGAATTCTTACTCTAGGTATAACGTTCATGGCAATACCTCACATGTGTGGTACATTTTTTTTTTTTTGTCATTTTTATTGCTATCACAAGGAATGTAATAATCCCTTGTGATAGTAATAAGCAATGACAGGTACTCTTTACTGAGAGATCTGGGATCTATTAGATCCCAGATCTCTCCTCTGCTCTTAAAAGCATCTGATCACACCATGATCGGTGTCATCAGAGGCTTTTCCAAGCCAAAAGTTGCTTTGTTTACATCCGACCATCTGGAAGGGACAAAATACTCTTCACTTCCAGTTTTTCATACCATAGAGATGATCTGGGACATTCAGGGTCTTGTTCAGCTCTGTGGTAAGAAGATGGTAGTGCCGGCTTCCTGATGCAACAGAAAAGCCCAGAAAGACCCCAGAGAGCATCGGGAGGGGGGTACTACTCCCACCACTTGTAAAAGCAATCCAGTGGATAATTGGCTGCTAGGATTTTTTACATTAGAGGATTGGCTGCTAACAAAATAGCTACTGGGATGTTGCCTGTAGCTGCAGGCATCATGCCGGTATCTCCACTCAAAGTCCAGGCTGTCATATGTCCTGCGGGTGGGAAGTGGTTAAATACATCAAGGAATTGAATTAGGTTCAGGAGGACCTCAAACTGACAGGTGGAAAGTTCAAAACTAATTTCAGAAACTTCTTTTTCCCCAAAGCATCTTTCAGGACAGCCAAAATGGAGAAATACCGGCTCTGCCTTTTACAGGAATTCCAATGCCCTGCCCCTCCCCAATCTGTCCAGCATGTTTTGTACAGAGGTCTACAAGAAAAGAGAAGCAGACCCTTTCCTGTGTATAAGTCTCTTAGGGACATGGTCCTTAAAGCCTTAAAAAGAATTTGTTTCTTTTTAAGGTCTATAAACAAAGATTTCAATTTTTAGTCCAGAAGAATAAATCTTTTTCTAAGTGTTCCAGCTTAGACGCTCCCCTTTCCAAGGTTTCATGAGATTCGGATTTATCCTTTGAGGACTCGGGAGTCATCAAGGACCAAATGAATAGGAAAGCAGAATCCCTCTTGAAAAAAGCTTGGGAGGCTTCTGCTTTCTCTTTAGGGGCAGCCCTAGCCTCTACTTGTCTGGCCAGGACCTTGAATGTCTGGATGGATAAGCTGGGTGAATTTCTGTCTTACCATACCTCGGTATCTCAAGTATGTGAGGCCCTTACGCTTATTTCCAAGACAGTAGCCTTTATAGCAGATGCGGCAACAGAGAATGTTAGGGCTACAGCTAGAGCTACTACACTCTTAAATTCAGCCTGCAGAGCTATATGTATTAAGGTTTGGAAGGGGGTAAATTCTATCTGCTATTTGGACTTCAGGGCTTCAGACGGTTTTGTCCCATTCCAAAGAGGGGGTAAATTCTCTGTCAAAAAGAAGAATTTTCGAGGCAAGGGTTCCTTTCGGGGCAAGCGAGCCAAGACTCAATTCAATTCCAAAAGGTCCCATTTTGACGAGAAGTGTCGGTCTCTTAACAAAGACAAAGGCAAGGGAGAAGCTTTGTTTGCCTCTCGAGATCCCATGCTCAAGTCAGATACATGATGCCAAGACTGGGGAGGGGGAAGATTGTCCCTGTTTTACGAGGTGTGGGAACAAAAAGAGGTGAGTCCTTTTGTTCTTCAAATCATAAGAGGGATACAAATTGGAATTTGTCTTTTCTCCTTGCAGTATCTTTTTGACAGAAAAAGGGCAGACGCAATTTTGGTAACGTGTCCCATTTAGCCTCACAAGGTGCCATTGTTCCGGTGCTGGCAGATCAGCACTTTGGGGGGGTTTTACTCTCATGATTTCTGGTCAGAAAACTGTCGGGCAGCTTCAGGATGATAATCAGTTTGAAAATGTTAAACTGATTTTTCTAATATACAACAGGTTTCGGCTGGAAAGTATCTACGCAATGAGAAATCTGCTTTATCAAGGAGCCTTCATGGCTTCCTTGGATTTGCAGGACTCTTGCAGTATCTACACATGACCATTCACCATTCTCATAAAAAATACCTGAGGTTTGCTATCCGCTCAAGTCAGGGATTGCACCATTGGCAATTTCAAGTGCTCCTGTTCGGTCTCTCAGAAGCCCGGAGGGTCTTCACAAAGATATTGGCGGAAGTGATGGCAATTTTGCGTCTCTAGGGCATTTCCATCATCCCTTACTTAAATTACCTTTTAATTTTTTCCCAGTCAATAGAAAAACTGATATTGGATCTGGATCTAGTGGTCTCAGAACTGAGGTCCCTAGGCTGGATAGTCATTTTGGGCAAGTCCAATGTGGTTCCAGTCCAGTATGTGAAATTCCTGGGCTACAGAGTGGATTCTGCCTCACAGAAAATTTTTTCCTCACGGACCAAAAAGTTCAAAATCTGGTGTCCTCGGTCCAGAACTTGCAAGATCAACTGTGATTTTTGCTAAGGGGGATCATGCGGGTTCTCCGACTGATGACGCAGCTATTCCTGGAGTTACTTGGGCCCAACTGCACTCAAGGAAGCTTTATGCTTTTTCTGCTGGCTTCATGGGACCGAAAACAGAGCTCTCTGGACACAGTTAATCTTCCATAGAATGGTTCTCTGGGTCTTGTGAAAATTACCGCAGACGCCATTTTCTGGGGTTGGGGAGTGCATACGGGTTCTCTTCATGCTCGAAAAGTTTGGGACCCAGATCTGGGGGAGACATACTCTTAACTTCAAAGAGCTGCTGGACTTAAGATCATTTTCAGGTGTCGTCTGGGGCAGAGAGTCCTAATTTATTCAGACAATGCCACTACATTAGCCTACTTGGAACAAGGTCTCCAAAGTTACGTTCTCAGGCTTGGGAAATTCTGCTTTGGGCAGAGGGTTGTTTGAATTCCATGAAGGAATTTCATCTCAGGGGTATGGACAATATCCTGGTCGGCTATCTCAGTTGAAACCGGTGAGCTGGGGAAATGGGAGTTGAATACAGAAGTGTTCAATCAGATCACAGCCTGATGGGGTTTTCCGGAGATAGACCTGTTCACCTCAGGCAGGAACAGGAAAGTGTGGAACTTCTTTGCCTTAGAAAAGGAGTCGCTGGGCTCAGGGATCAGATGCATTGACACAGATTTGGGACCTTGGTCTGGCCTATGCATTCCCCCGCTGGTGATCCTTCCGCAGGTTGCCTGGAAAATCGGGTCGGAGTGCTGTCAAGTCATCCTAATAGCTCCATATTGGCCAAAGAGGAGTTTTTCGATTCTAATGTCTTTTGTCCCATTTCCCCTCCTTGTATTCTTCCGGATTTACTGCTTCAGGGGCCTGTTTGCCAACCAAGTCCTTGTCTTTTCTGCCTGATGGCTTGGAGGCTGAGAGGAGATTCTCACATCTAAAGTGTGTTCAGAAATAGCCATTTACTGATTCTGTTTAGTGGACCCAATAAAGGCTTTTTGTGCTTCCAGAAGTTCTATTGCCAGGTGGATTCATGAAGCTATTTTGTTAGCATACAAGAGATTGGGGCAACAGCCACCTCCCAGGGTGCGTGCACACTCCACAAGATCTCTGGCAGCCTCCTGGGCAAAAAGGGCAGGTGCCTCATGGGAAGACCTCTCCAGAGCTGCGGTTTGGTCCAATAATCATGCGTTTGTCAAACACTACCATGTGGAGCTTCTTTCTAGCCAGGATTTGGCTTTTGGAAGGAAAGTTCTGCAGGCAGTGCTCCCTCCCTAAGGTAGGGGTATTACTCTCCATGTCAGCCGTTAGCTGGAAGATGCTTTGTGAAAACGATGGTTATTCTTACAGTTGGCAGTCTTTCCTGGAGTCTTCCATGATGGCTTCCTTTTTTCCACCCAGATTTGAGTATTTCACTTTTGATGGATTTTATGTTTACATGTTTTATCTCCCCTCATGTGCACTGGTGGCGGCCTACTTTGTCCAACAACTGAGGACTAGGGGTTGGGGTGGGGATTTTTAAACTGTCTCTGTATTGTGTTTCCTGTAGAGGGTGGAGTCAGTATCTCTCCATGTTAGCCATCCTGGAAGAGTCAGTCAACAGTAAGTGGCTTCAAACATGATAACAATAACGTTAAAAAGGGCGGTCTTGATGGACCACTTGGTTTTTTTTTTGTTACTTTTCTCTGTTTCTTTGACCCTGCTCCCCAAGGAACAGGTTACGGTTAGAGATAAACTTTCAGGTCTTGGTGCTTTTAAGTACTTCGCCAAGGGAATAACTATACCCATATACAAAAGTTGTCCTTTTCTGCTAGATTAGCACATCCTTAATCCCCGGAGCCAATTTCTGTTTCTTAAAGGTCAGATCTCCGACCATAAATTCACCTTTGCAACACTTTAAGCCCCAAACACCCAACTAATCACCTTCCTAGACCAAATTTTAGACATACTACAAGATTTCAAAGATGGGTTCAATATGATCAGTCCAGACCAAATTCATGACACTTCCATGGAAAAATTCCCACTTTCCTTTGCAGCTTTTAACCAGCTGCCGACCGCAGATAGCCGAATGACGGCTTCACTGCGGCCGGCCAGTTCTGAGTGGACGTCATATGACGTCCTCCCAGAACGCGCTCCTGGGGCGCGCACCCGGCGATCTCCGTGATCGCTGTGTCCTACGGACACAGCTGATCACGTGATGTGGTAAAAGGCCAATCACAGCGGCCTTTTACCACGTGATCAGCGGTGTACAATGACACGCTGATCAGAGGGAAATGCAAGTGCCGGTTCTCGGCTGCACTTTCCTCACGCTGTCAGATCGTGAGGAAAGTACTGCCGAGAACCGGCAGTTGTCAGAGCGGGGATCGGCACCGATCATCAGGGCACTGATGATCAGTGCCCTGATGATCGGTGCCCAGCAGTGCCACCCGCAAGTTCCACCCAGTAGTGCGCCCACTAGCTCCACCCACCTGTGCCCAGCAGTGCACCCACCTGTGCCACTCTGCAGTGCCACCTACCTGTGCCCAGAAGTGCCACCTACATGTGTTCCCAGCAGTGCCACCCACCTGTGCCCACCCACCAGTGCTGCCCACCAGTGCCACCCACCAGTGCAGCCCAGCAGTGCTGCCAGTCAGTGCCACCAGTCAGTGCCCAGGGGATATGCCAGTCAGTGCCGCCAGTCAGTACCCATCATCAGTGTCGCCTATCAGTGCCGCCTATCAGTGCTGCATATTAGTGCCGCCTATCCGTGACCCCTAATTAGTGCTGTCTATCAGTGCCGCCTATCCGTGCCACCTCATTAGTACTGCCTATCAGTGCCCTTTAGTGCTGCCTATCAGTGCCGCCTATCAGTGCCCATCAGTGCTGCCTCATCAACGCACATCAGTGAAGGAGAAAAAATACCTGTTTGAAAACTTTTATAAAAGAAACACACTTTTTTTTTTTTTTTCAATTTTTTTTTTTTTATTTATAGCGCAAAAAGTAAAGCGCCCAGTGGCGATTAAATACCACCAAAAGAAAGCTCTATTTGTGAGAAAAAAATGATCAAAATTTCATATGGGTACAATGTTGCATGACCGCGCAATTGTCAATCAAATTGCGGCAGCGCTGAAAGCTGAAAATTGGCCTGGTAAATAAGGGGGTATAAGTGCCTGGCAGGCAAGTGGTTAAAGAAGTATCACTTTTTTTTTCTTTTTTACAGCATTCAGTGCCCAATAGGACAAAAATGCATGTAGTATTTTGTCCCATCTTCATTCGGTACCCTGAAATGCTAATAGTGATGTCGGACAGGGCCCTCCCCTCACTCTATGGCTGCCTGACACCACAACTAAGCAAGGAAATGACTATTGCTATAGTGAATGCCTTCCTCTGACTCCCAGCACTTTTTCGAGACCATCACTGGCATGGGGAACGCAGAGGGAGGTGAGGCCGACACACCTCACCCCAAGGTGGGTGCCCTTTCCAAGATCGCAGTTAGCATTACAGGGCACCAAGGAAGATGTGACAAAGTGCTAAATTAACTTTCTTTTGGGAACTGGATAATGTATTCATAAGCAATATTTCATTGTATACATTTTCATAAAATTGTTTAAGGCTTACATCTGGTTGATTGCTGGGGATCAACAAATACGTGCCAGATTACAGTTTTTATTCAGAGTTCTGTAAAACCCACTGATCCCCTATATACTGACGAGTTCTGTTTACTGTAGATACATTGGACAAATTTTATATAGAACAAATCTGAGTAGATCGTTTAAGATCATTCTCCGGTAATGATTCAAATAAATGTAACCAACTCAGCCCATAGCGACAGGCCTTGGCATCTGAATTGCAACATTTTGGATAACATGACTTCCAGTACCACTGTTGAAGCTGCCATACAAAAATTATTGTTCCCAGGGAGATGTCTGAGGTCTCGGTCTTAACGGATATAAAGCAGTGATCCTTTCTCACAGTATCCATCTCAAGAATGTGAGAAAAGCTGAAATTCAACAGCTTATTTAAGACATCTGTTCTTTAGAAAATAAGCGTAAATGTAATAGACTGGAAGATGAAGAGTTTTAGCTATAATGCCTGCCACCTAAAATTGAGCAGCCATGTCGGTCAACAAAACCACTGTAGGTTCCCTTTTTTTTGTCCCAAAAATGTTATAAGCGGGGCAATAAGGTCAAGTGATTGTTTGTTGTCGCAATCGTAAATTGTTACAATACTAGACATGTGAAATGAACACTGCTGATAGGAGCTCCACATCTAACACAGCTCTAATTCTTGCCAGTTTGGGGATTTTTAATAACAGTTGTATAACTCCTCATCTTACATACTAGGGGGAGTACAAGTGGGGGAATCAATGGTGGAGAAGGATCTGGGAGTTCTGGTAGATCACAAGCTTAATAATGGCATGCAATGCCAAGCTGCGGTTTCTAAAGTGAGCAAAATCCTCTCTTGTATTAAAAGAGGTATAGACTCCAGAGAGAGATATCATATTACCCCTGTCTAAATCATTAGTAAGACCTCATCTGGAATATGCTGTTCAGTTTTGGGCTCCAATTCAAAAAAAGAACACTGGGGAACTTGAGAAAGTACAGAGAACGGCAACTAAACTGATAAGAGGCATGGAGGAGCTCAGCTATGAGGAAAGATTAGAGGAACTGAATTTATTCTCTCTTGAGAAGAGGAGATTAAGGGGGGATATGATCAACATGTATAAATACATCAGTGGTCCATTTAGTGAACTCGGTGTAGAGCTATTCACCCTGAGGTCATTACAGAGGACAAGGGGGCACTCTTTACGTCTGGAGGAAAAGAAATGTAATCTCCAAAGACGGAAAGGTTTCTTCACAGTGAGCGCTGTGTAAAATGTGGAATAGACTCCCTCAAGAGTTGGTTCTGGCCAGCTCAGTGGATTGTTTCTTAGATACACAGAATATAACTGGATACTAACATTTATAGGTAAAGTTGATCCAGGAAATATCCGATTGCCTCTCGGGGGATCAGGAAGGAATTTTATTCCCTGCAGAAGCAAGTTGGATCGTGCTTTGCTGGGGGGTGTTTTTTTGCCTTCCTTTGGATCAACTGTGGGTATAGGATCATAACTCCCTTTTTTTTTTTTTTCTTTTTCTTTCTATGAACTGGATGGACTTTAGTTTTTTTTTCAGCCAGACTAACTATGTAACCCCAGATATTCAGAAGAGCAGGAGGCAAATAAGCAGAGAAGGTCTTGTATCCAACCAATATGTACAAGCTGTTCACTATTTTTTACTTTCCCCAGGCTCTTTTGAAGCAGCCTGTCTCCCCCTTGAAGATAAAATATACAATCGATGTACTTTCCAAATGATAAAGACTCCAGACCTGGCTGCTCATATTGATGTTATCCCAAAAGATAGAAAGCATCACTGGGTTCAATGTCATGCCCAATTTGTTTGTTCACCACATATTCTTTCTAAGGCTATTGCCAACCACATAACAGCATTTCTGCAAGACCTAATCCACCCTGATCAAACCATATACTGTATAGGCTAGGCCTAGGGCAACTCTGTTAGGGTACTCCAGATTGTTCACTGGGTGTGATCCTACACCTATATTAGATCATGCCACCTCTCCCTCTCTGACGCCGAGAGAGCTTTCTAAACATTTATGGCTGAAATTGTGGGACTGGGCCCCCTCTTGTTTAGCTGGATACTGTCATTCCCTGAGAACCCTGCAACCAGGGTCAAAGTAAATGTTATTCAATCCCAACCCTTCTCAATGAGCAATGGTACCAGGCAGGGATACTCATTATCGGTCCTGTTATTCACTTGGCAGAAGTCCTACTCTGTAAAATCATGAAATGAACCAGAATATCCTAAATGGGCTATGTCCAAGTAGGCTTCTTTGAATGCAAGCCATGCAGATGATATCCTGTTTATTACTGAACCTTTTCAATCATCTCCTTAACCAATATTATGCTAATGTATGAGAGTTTAGAGAGAGCTTGAATTTTAAAATCGGGACCATTTTATCTAACAACCGCCTTTCCATCGGTCAGCCTCTCCTAATGTATATCAGTTTTTTTTAAGGACAGTGTAGAATACATCTTTGTTTCCCAATCTTAGGCAGGAACAGAGAGACCCATTTTCTACAAATTTGTTTTCTGGCTGAAAATAGCTATTTATTCACATTGGTGGTATATCAATCTAGGTCCACAGTCAGTACATCCCAGTATGCAGAGGGTAGGCTTTTTTCAAGCCAACTTGGCACAGTCAGAATCGCTGCATAGCCCATTTTAGAATAGCAGTTTGGGTGTGCATGAAATAATTTTTATTTTATCCCTTCCTGATTAAGCTAACTTGCTAGCTTTCTAATGATGATTATAAAAACGAGTGCTAAAACAAGTAAAGGTCTTATTTGTAGAGAAAAACTTGCTTATAACTATACTGCTTTTATAATACACAAGACTCCTCTCTTACTAAGACGCACCAATATTCACATTCCTTTACTTTGGGGTCCTCACAACCCCCTTCCTCCTATCTGCATTTTGTATATACCATATTTTCCGGCGTATAAGACGACTTCTTACCCCTTGAAAATCTTCTCAAAAGTCGGGGGTCGTCTTATACGCTGGTATACGGCATACGGACACTTTTTAGGGGGCGGCGCGGTGCCGCCGCCCCCCCCCCCCTTCCAACGGAAGGGACACTAAGTACAGGGGTGGGCAGAGGCTGCTGTTTCTTTCCTGGCTCCGGTCCCACGACGATCCGGTCCAGGAAGCGCGGCTGCTCCTTCAGTTCGGCCACTGGATGTTCGCGCGGCTGCTCGGCTCCGCCTCCTCACCGGTGATTGGCCGCCAGAACTGTAGCTCAGGAAAGGCACACAGGCGGCCAATCACCGACGAGGGGCGGAGCCGAGCGGGCCCTGCGAAAATCGAGTGAAGGAGCGGCCGGTAAGTGTGCTGTGTAGAGGTGCTGCTGCAACCACATATGCTGGCTGCAGCAGCACCATACTGCAACAGGGGTCAGCAAGTGTCATTGGTGTCAGTGGGAGGAATAGTGCCCCATTATTGGTGTCACTGATACCAATGATGGAGCACTATTCCTCCCACTGACACCCACGATGGGGCACTATTCCTCCCCCCCCCCCCCCCCCCCTGACACACCAATGATGGGGCACTATTCCACCCCCCACTGACACCAATGATGGGGCACTATTCCACCCCCCACTGACACCAATGATGGGGCACTATTCCACCCCCCACTGACACCAATGATGGGGCACTATTCCCCCCCACTGACACCAATGATGGGGCACTATTCCTCCCACTGACCCCAATGATGGGGCACTATTCCTCCCACTGACACCAATGATGGGGCACTATTCCTCCCACTGACACCAATGATGGGACACTATTCCTCCCACAGAGACCAATGATGGGGCACTATTCCTCCCACTGACACCAATGATGGGGCACTATTCCTCCCACTGACACCAATGATGGGGCACTATTCCTCCCACTGACACCAATGATGGGGCACTATTCCTCCCACTGACACCAATGATGGGGCACTATTCCCCCCAC